AAAAAAATGGAAGTATGGATTGATATTAGTTCTGTTGGCCTTGGCGCAGTGTTCACACAAACGGACAAACAGGGACTAAGAAAGGTGGTCAGCTATGCCAGTCGCACCCTGACAGCCACTGAACAACGCTACAGCCAAATTGAGCGAGAAGTCCTTGGAATTACTTGGGAAATTCAGCATTGCCACTGTACTTCGGCCAAGTGTTCACAAACACTGTTCATTGATCACAAGCATCTTATCCCCTTATTTAACAAATCTCAGGCAAACCTATCTTCATGTATACAGAACTGATTACTGAAACTGCAGTTATACAGCATGTCTGTTGGCCACCATTCTGGAAAGGACAACCCAGCAGACTACATGTCCAGACACCCAAGCCCAAACAGTAAGACAGTCTGTGACAGTCTGTCACAGGAAGCCAACAAATTTGTCAAATTTGTTGCACCGCCATTCAACTCTAAAAGCTCTCAAGCAGTCCTTGCCCTCCAAACAGTCATTGAAGCATATCGTGAAGGACAATGGTTCATGCTCAACATAGAGAAGTATAATGCTTTCTTGGGAATCTGTGATAGCATCATAGTCACAAAGTGTGGTGTAGTCCTGTGAGAACAGTGGATGATAATTCCTGCTCGTTTGCAACAACGCGCTCTCTAGCTTGCTCACAGCAGTCATATGGAAATATCGAAAACCAAGTTGCTGTTATGCAGACAGGTGGGGTTCCCAAACATTGACCAGAAAGCCAAGAAATTGTGAAGTACTGCCTCCCCTACCAATTTGCTAACCACTTTGAATGACAGATCTTCCTGCATACCCTTGGCACAATGTCTGTGTCAATTTCTGTGGCCCATTTGTCTCTTGCAACTACCTGCCAGTGTGTATGGATGACCCCTCCAGATTCCTGTGTCGAAATCCTATGCTCAACTTCAGCTCGAGCCACAGTTCCCATCGTGGACAAGATCTTTGCTGCCCATGGTATCCCAGACACTGTGAAAACTGATAATGCCCCAACCCATTCAAAAGTGCAGAATTCAAAACATTCTCAGAATATCTTTGATGTCATCACAGAAAAATCCCCCCCAACCAGAAGCCAACAGTCAAGCTGAAGACTTTATGAAAAATTGGAAGAAAGCTATCCAGTGTGCAGAAGCTGAAGGAAGGCCATGGGAACAAGAACAATGGATATTTCTTCGTGCATACTGTTCAACCTTGCACTGTATCACCAGCATCTCCCCAGCAGCTGCACGCTATGGACGCAACATCAACACTCTAATTTGTCAACCCCCTCTAAAACACGACAGTGACCGATAAGCTCTACCAACATGATCAACACGTGAAGCGGAAAATGAAGCTTCACGCTGACAAACATCAACATGTTGCATTGTCGCCAATTACTGTTGGGGATACTGTCCTTGTCAAGAATTTTAACATTCTCCGTAAAACCAACTACATGTATCCGTACAACCCACAACCCTATACTCAAAGGAAAAGTCTGATGATCACTGCTCAACATGGCCACCTTGCAATGTTGCCCACTGCAAAATAATTCCTTTGGGGAGGAGGACCATGATCCAGCAAATCATCAGCCATTTCCAACTATAATGAGCTCCGACAGACCCCCAATGTGAAAGATGTACCCCAGCACGATACAAAGAGTTCATGTGATTCTCAAAGAAACAACTCGTTTTAATTTTAAAGAAAGGCAACAACAACAAATTGTTTAAAATTAGCTCGGTATGAATTTGGTTTATTTTATCTCCCAAACACTTCAAAGTTACAACGTCTTCAAGATGTTCCATCTGTTGTTCCAACTTTTCACATCTGGATCTAGGTTGCTGTCCTCTGTTAGGCCGTCTTAGAGGTGGAGGCACTTTCACGTCCATCGTGCTTATTTGCCTAGTCCTTCAGCTCGTTGAAATGTCTGGATTTCTGGCCACCTCCAGGAAATGTGTAGGGCCTCAGGACCAAGGCCATCGATAAACTGCTCTCAGAAAATTGCATCAGAGTCTTTGAACAAGCCCGGGTTTTCTTTTGGATGCATAGGAAATTCGTTTCCAAGGCTACTGCAAACTCACAAAAAGCCTCCACGGACCTGCCTCCATTCTTAAAGCCCCTTTGAAGCTCACACACTGTCAGCATTCTCCATAGGACTTGACATAGCCCAGGACATCATTAACTGTGGCCCATTGGAAAACAATGCCAATATCTCCACAAGGGAGGTACCCTTGAGAGTATTGAGTATGAATTGTCCCTGCTGCCCCTCAGGAACTTGGTAGCATTGCGGGTTGCAGAAACATTTAACTCTATGGCAGATTGGGAGAGTTTCACATTACAATTTGGCAAATAGATCTGCAGCATTCTAGATTCAGTTTGAGGAACCAGTCTAGGGCATTGCTAGGAGGAACATTCCAAGTGGCTGCCAAATTACCGACATCACAGGTCTGTTAAACCAATCAGGTTGGACAGCACTACTCCTTGATAGCAAATCGCCAAAATCCAATCATAACCTTAAACCAAATTCAACAGGACAAAATATGAGGATGACCCAGGTTTCTTCTTAAACTTAAAAACACACCGAAGAACACTTTGGCCATGGAAAGAAGTCTCCATATCAGCTAGCTGTAACACAGTGAATCCCATATTCCTATACAAAAAGTCTGACACCACGAAGAGTAGCAACCCCACAGAGATCCTAGAAGCTATGTTCTCCAAACTAAGCTTTTCTGTTAAATTGGAAGGAAACATGGCAGGTTGTGAAGACAAAAATGTGACCTGTCTTCACAAAAGGAGCTGAATGTCGGCATGTTCAAAAACTCAGATATTGGTATTGTTGAATTCAGCAGAAAGAGAGCTTTCCAATGGTATGTACATGGAACACTAGTAAAGGTGTAAGGTAACAATGTGGCATTATTCTGGCAGCTTTGCATCTTTGTTTCTCCCATTGTTTCAACATTGCATACCAGGCACGAACAATGTTATTGTCAAAATTGCTGAGAAAATGACATGTTTAAATATGTGGTTCTACAAATATTTGGAATTAAATGGGAGACGAGTTACCGTTTCCAAATATTATAAAACCCCAAAATTGACCTCCACTTCAATATAACTTTTAACCCTCAAAATGAGAGAGTGGGATGCGACTTTACTCTCATTTTGTCGTGACAGGTCACAAATAGCCTCCTGCATGGGATTGTATTAGTACCCTTTGCAGTACATGTAAACCAGTGATCAACTTAGAGATACCAGGCTCTTCGTCCATGCAGTTCTAGGTGACTTTTGCATCACTACTCGAAGCAAACATTTCTTGAAGGTAGAGAATGCGCATACAACGCTATTCATCACCAGCCCCTAGTCCTATTTAGACACCATGGATATCCACACCACAGAGCTCTCGGTAGCCATGCTGTCTAACCACCAATATTTTGTTGAACAAAGATCATCCTTTCTACTCTGGCTGGCTATTCTGAAGAGAACATGTGAAGAGCAAACCCATTAAAATTAGAAATTCCTGCTTTCCATATTAAGTACGAAGAGGACAAGGCAACTTAAAAGCATGTTAACAGGTTTGCTACACTTATAACACAACTAATACAGTGTACCAAGGAGTCACACTGGGCAGAAGTTTACCTTAAAGGCCCTCACTAAGAACACCAAAGTACAAGTGAACACCTTATGGCCACAATATCATTCTCTGCAAGCTTGTCCACTGTTAGATGAGCAGAATGCTCAACTACATTATACACTGCGCTTGATCCCCAATATTTACCTGTATATGTTCTCTTGAAAGTTGTAATTTCTTGCTCTGAATTTAGTTTCAAAGATTCCTTTGCAAAGCATATTGAGGACAGCCCAATTAAATAAATATACAACAGAAAACCACCGGATGATTGATATTTGGAGATAAAAATTTCACCAGGGAAGGCAAAGACAGACACAGATGGCATATGCAGAATTCTGCAAAGCAATTGTGAACTTCTTGAGACTTTTATGGCAAAAAAAAAGTCTCGTTAGAAGTAATTTACACATGTATGTATGTGCAGTCTACTAAAACACTACCCTTCAAGGTTATGCCTAGGCATTGTGGAAACGTGCCGTCAATCCACAAGTGGAAGATTCACCGAAGGAGCGTTTTTAGATGAAGATGCTGGATTGGCTACTGACACTGAAAGGTCATCATTTTCATCATGCATGAATGGGGCAATGGAAGTTGTAAGGTAGACAGATTTTTAAGCCCTTCCAGTCAAATGCAAATGACCGGTTCACAGAGAGCTCAAACCAGAATAAGTTGTACATATATGTCCACATACAGCAAAATGTGACTGTTTTATCACTAGATGCATTTAATATGAATGCAATGCCTGGTGCCAGCCTAGACTGGCAAAGTTACCACTGTGTACTCTGCCATAGAACCTACTGCACATAGTACCTGCTTGTACATTGTTTGAACTTGGTTGTGAATGTAGATTTATATGGCAATAACTTTGATTCTTTCACTAGTATCCAAAGTGTTGCACAATTTGTTGAACTGGTCTATAACGAGCACATGGCTTTCATCTTTGCAAAGCTTTATAGACACTTATTGTGTCCTGTTACTTCACTGTTCTGTCTTGTTTTTGTCTGTTGTAGAATAGCATTACCCTAGCAGGATGTGTTAGAATGTTTTTACTTGTACATGTATACACAGCATATTTTTCAGAGGAAGCCATGGTTTCATACCAGTAGGATGCTCCTTTTTGACTTCTTCACCAGGAGACCTACTTGAGTTACACTGGTTATTAGTACCATTTTACTAATATTTGCATGTCAAAACAGGAACTGAAAAGGCACTGCATTCTCCTGTTCCGACATGTGCATTTTGCTTCTTAATTTTATTAACAATTCTGACATATCTGACACAAACACGGACCAATACGAAGTTTTACACTCACATGTGACATGTTAAGGACAAGTCGAATACTGTACATGTCGTTATTAGAGTGAAACTGTGTTTTCCATTTTAACAGGTTGTGGTGGTTCAATCTGGCCAGGTGATAAACACAGAAAACGACTGCACAGAGGCTGTATGCAGACTGCAGGAGCTGATCAAGAACTTGAAGGAGTTACTGCGGCTTCATAGTAGATATCAGTGCAAGCTGTCTCTGGCCGAATATACACAAGTAAATATATACTTTTAAAAATTGCATGATTTTCTTGCTTAATTCTGCCGTCAGGAGCATCTGGATTCCCTGGGCCATTCCTGAACCAACAAAAATGTGCAATGAAAAGGTGTTTTGTACCAAATTGCTTGAAATGCTGTCCACATGTTTATTTTTGAACTTTCAGTTCAGATATTATTAGATTGTGTCAACAACCTGATAATGTGTGTTGTGATCAGCTGGCATAAAGGATAAACAACTTCTTTTTAGGCATATTGTTAAATGTATGCATTACACCACACAGAAATGAAGGTGAGTGGAAGAATGTTTTGCCCAGCTGAATGTGAGTGTATACTTTCCAATCATGTATCTCTTTACCTTTCGTGGACATTTTTAGGAAACCGCCAGCACACTGGTGTTCCGCATGTTAGATCGTGTGGCAGCCCCAGAACTCATCCAAAGCACCATTGAAAAGTTGATCCGACCCTACGTACAGGAACACAACCTGAACGAGGACAAGCTGCTTCTGCAATACATACAGGTTAGTCAGCAATTCTGTTTTTGGAAATTAGAACTGGTTTTGTCTGACATAGAACAGTGCTTTCAAACTGAGAGTTGAGAGCTAAGAAAGGACAGAGCATGTCTTTTGTAGAGCCACGTGTTCTTAGTCTCGTCCTCATTCAAAGTAATCTACAGAGAGCTTATAGCTTTTTATTGATCAATATTGTGGATTCAGTTTGGCTTGATCCAAAAACTTAAAGTTGAAATCAGTGGGGGTTTTTTTCTCATCTTTTTGGGGGGTTCAGTTCATTTGGTTTACATTGCTTTGTTTTGGTTTGGCTCGGTTCAGTTTGGCTTTTTTGTCAGTTTTTAGAGCTCTGTAAAAAAGGCAGAACACATTGCTCATATATTTTTTCACTTGTTTACGTATAGTTAGGGTTTAAACGCAGGTATGGATCACTTGCCAATTTTAAAATGCTCTAAGTAAGATGTCACAGCTTTACAGACTGATGTGTTATGTGGGCTGACTGGGCCATGTGTCAAAGATGAATTAGAATTGTATCCCAGAAGTACATGTACCTTTGTGATGAACTCCACTCATATTAAAAACAGGTAGAGTTGAAATTTTTCCAGCAATGCTCTCAGAAGGGCATTTTGTCGGTGGTAAATTTTGTTTTGGGAGATTTTGAAGAATAGATCTTTATTCTTTTTGTATTTGCCACTGCCCATTTGGATGAGGAACAAGGCATATACAGACTTCATTCTCTCATTTTGGCATCCTGTCAGAGCCCAAATCTGAGTACCACAGCAGTAACTTGAGTGTACCAGGCTGTTTAGAAATTTCATCCTAGTCTGAAGCCAGATATATGGAAGTTGGGATGTTGGCAAAAATAGACTCCGGCCAACTGTATGCAGTAATTGATCTTGATCCTCTATCCCAAGGTCTTTGTTCCTGAAGGTCTAATAAGATTACCGAGGGCCAACATGTTCCTTCTGAGCGATACTACATGCTTGAAAATACACCTTAGGCTGCTCAATGGAATCCTGGATATTTGCTTTGCACCCCTCATTTCATCTTTCAAGATGACTGATCAGTGATTCAATAAAGCAGTTCATGGTGGTGCCCTGTTTTGGAAGAGTCCAAACTGGAAGCCTTACAGTTGTTCATACCAACCTGACTTGGAGTTCAGTATTATTGTGAGGACTAGTTTGTAACAGGTAGATTCTGTACTTTGTTAGATTGGTTCAGCTTCTTTATCTTGTAAAGAGCACTTGTAGCTTTGAGTTTCCTAACAATTCCTGAATGTCACACTTTAACCATCCTATCCTCACTTGCCACTGCAGAACCCAGAGCAAGTCATTGCTAAGTGCCCATTTTAGGGGTACAGCGTGGAAGCCGTTGACTTTCTGTTCATCTGGTGGATGGTGATCTCAGTCTTCACTTTGTTGGAATAGCATCATCTGGCTTCGATTGGTACATGTAGTGGAAAACTTCCAGAATAAAGTTTGGACCAAATTTGTGACAGAAACTCTTTGGGATGGAGTACATGTAAGAAGCTGCATTAGGAAAATCCTTTTGTGAGATGATCCAGAACAGCTGCATTGGGGGAGTTATGGATCTGGGGTCATGTTTTGCCCTTTTTTCACTGGATGACTGGAGTTTGTTCTTCAGCTTGGATTCTTTAAGTTTTCACTTTGAAAGTAGTAAGTCAGCAGGTGTATCCTTCGGTTGAAATAGGCAACCTTTTTCGGCAAGGTTGCACTTTATCGTCTTGGAGTGTTGGAAGCTTCCGAGAGATTCCCAAACTTGGCTGCCTGACTCCCATAAGGGGGCAGTCTTGGTAACGGCAGGTTTTGATTAGTTATCCTTGCATTGTGGTCTTCTTGATAGTTTTGAGCTCGTCAAGTACAGGAACAATGTTGGATTTGAAGTACCGGTATTGTTGGTGTCAGAATCAAGTGCTTCAAGACAAGTTTCTGTTTTAGAAAGGAAGCCACATCTGGAGTGGCAATGCCTCCTCGCAACTTGATGTAGGACAACTTTGTGAAGTTTTATATGTCTTATCTTCAGAAATCATTGCTCTCATCAGTTGTGGTTAGAATGCATCTTTTGTAAAATCCTTTTCTGGGGTTCAGATTATATCCGTATGTTTTGTTTTGTTTTTTTAATGTGGATCAGCCTTGAAGATATTTGTGATACCATTACTGTCTTGATGCCAGGATCTTGTGGTATGGCAGACTGATGTCATCCTTGACTCTCAGTCAAACTCCAGAAGGACAGATTTTACATTTCCAGTCAGAGTTGGAGAAAGAAGACCTTTCTGCATAGCCCTTTGGTCTTCTCATCTCTTCCATTGCTACAATGGCAAGCTTTGCTCGTCGGTAGAACTCTCCAACTGCTTGGTCGAGTTTGCATCATCTGTGAGCCATATGCAGTTGATGGTACCTTATTGCCTTGTTCTGAAGTTTATGAGAGAGGTTGCACCAGGGATGAGCAGCCCGACCGGGGCATGAGGTGGTACCAGTACATGTAGGTCGTTCCAAAAAAGTCAGTCTTAATAGGTTCACTTAAGGTTTATATGTAGGTGGTGAGTTACATCTAGTTCAATACGGGCGATTCACAATAGTTTCCTTCAAAAGTTTGCAACGTGTTGGCCAATCACAATGCATGAAATTCTGTTGACCCTTTCCAAACGTGCATTGGGTCTACAGATGTCGCGCATCTTGATTGGCCAATGCGTTGCATACTCTTGGAGGCACACTATTGTGAATCGCCCGTATTCTCAGCGGGAGACCTCAGAAGTCTTCATGGAATGCTGTGAGGATGAAAAGTGAAGCAACTTGAGACTTACAGGGTAATATACTTGGCTACAGTGATATTAGTATCGAAGAAATGTTCTGCTTCCAGTGCCCTCTTGATTTCTTCAGTTTTAAGTTTTAGAATCTTATTTGGCCACAGAGAGCATGTTGTTTGAATGGCACATCATTTGGGATTGCAGCAGGCTGGTTTTCTCTGCTGGTCTTCAGCCAGTGAGTAGGCCCCAGTACAGGAGCTTACAGAAGGAAAATTGTTCCAAATATTGTACTTATTTCTTTGCAGGACTTGTTGAGTTGCTACGCCCAGGGTCGGAGAGCCACCTATGTTTATGAGGCATTTTGGGAAGCCAAAGCCATAGCCATTATCCACTGCATCAAGGATGTTGAGGTAAAAAAACTTTTGGCTCTAATTTTCTGACATTTTGTAGTGATGGTTAGAATATGGGTTGATTCAAGAGGCAGCAGTCAACAGATTTCCTGTTGAGTGTAAAAGCATACAGGACCATTAATGACAGGAATTTGTTCCAAGTTATGAGACCAAGTGCCTGTAATCAACTATACAAATTACATGCACTTTTGACCTTTTCAGACTGAGGAAACTAGAAAAGGAAAGGTTGCTAGAAGGTTTTTAGGCAAAACTTTCATTTTAAAACATCATACCACGTGGAGTGTGGGAACGGATGCCATGTTTATGCTCAAGGGTTATTTTTAAAGTGTTTGGAGTAAGAATTTACCATTTGATTGCATTTTTTTGCGTGCTTTTTCCCTCTTATGTGATATTTGGGCTAAGGGTTTCTTTAACAGTTTCTTATTAAGTAACTTATTTTACTTCAGTGGTGTACCAGGTGCCTATATGGAAGTACCCATAAATGTACACCACTGAAACAGCCTGACTTTGCAGAATTCCAATATTCTTCCCAGTTTTTATCTCATCATGAACACCAAGGCATCAATACATTTGTAGTCATTTCTTATCCTATCCACATTGTGTAGTGTAAGTGCCTTGGAATTTACTCTCTGATGCTGAGTGCCTCCATGCCATGGAATGACAAGATGGAGCAACTAGTCCGCCAGGGGTTGTCCCTTAAACACCCAAAGTAAGCCGTGGTTTTTCTTTCAGTTTACTGGCATGCTTATAAAAATAGTAATGTAGAAGGGTCACCGAAATTTGGGGTCCAAAGTGTGAAATTTTTCCGTCGCTGGTACCTCTGACATGTATACCATCTGACCAGTTTGACAAGGGATGTACATGTATCACTGAAATTGATTTCAAACTATTTTTATTTGTTTGGCAGGTAATTTGCAGTACTTAGTCAGTCTTGGAGATTAAACAACGAGTTCTAAACATTAAAATCAAATGCCAGACATAACAGGGACGGGGAAAAAATTGGACCCCAAAATAGAACTACCCAAAACCAAGTTGATTGGGGATGTTTCACCTACATGTAGTGGTTGAGGCTGGCGTTCCCAGGGTGAGGGGCTCAAATCCATCAAATGGATGCACTGGTATTTTTTGACAGATGGCGTACTTACTTACCTCTCTCTACCAAAATTAAATGGGCATGTGTGACAGCAGGGAGGATTGATATGCTTCATTAGCTATTTGTGCTGCAAATGAAAATATGACGCTTTATACTCTCTAGTAAGCAGAACTGGTTTTAGGAAATTTCTTTGGCCTGTGTAGCTGGGATGATAGATTGTAGTGCCTTGAGCACCATAACTAGTGGATACGTGTACTGGTATGTGCCCTTTATTGAAATACACGTATGCATTATTATTATGCTTTGGGGACTAGAAGGGGTTATGCCAATGAAATGTTTTTGAATGTCCCAACGAGTAAGTCTAACAGCGCATGCACAAAATGCAGCACGCTGAAGTTTTCTGGGCAATCAATGTACACAGTGCACATGTACATGAGATTGGCCCTCATGGTGCCGTTGTACGGCGCAATGACCACACACAGCAAACATGTGCATCTTGACTTGATATGATGTTATTTATTCCCAAATAAGCTTGTCTTTTTGAATTTCTTTTCAGGAATCACTTTGGGAATCAGCATCAGAATCATATCAGAATCTGGTTTTGTTTTGATACACTCACTCTTATATTCTACACATACATGTAGTGAGACATTAAATAACTAATAACAGTGAAGACAAACATACTTTTGTTACAAATAGAAATTAATTGAACTGCTTTTTGCAATTTTGCGAAACCCGACAAATCTTTGTACCTGTTAAACATCACCAAAACCTGAAATGGTTGTGCCAGCCCTTTCATGGACAGCGTTACATTTCTAAAAACTAGGTCATAACATCGACAGCATTTTTACAAACATCGGGTGTTCAAGAAAGAAGAGTGTGCATCGGTACAATACTACCTAAACAAAATAACAGCTATCTAAATTCCATATGACCCATGCACCTTGATGTTAAAATGCTGGGATCGTGCAGTTTGTATTTGTCAACTTTTTTTTTATAATTCCAACCCTTTCAAATCAGAGAAATATGTCAAATCGGAAAGTCCTTCACAATAAATAAGCCTGATCAGATTTCAGCTGTCCTACACAAACATCGTCTAAATATAAGACATATTAACAGGTCTATTACATACATACATAAGAAACTCTAAAATCAAGAGGTCAAGAAGTTAGAGGGGAAACAGGATATTAGCACAGGATATTAGCTTAGAGTTCCAAGTAAAATCCAAGGATGGTTTGATGGTTTCAAATATCTGGAACATTAGAGACAGCATCATACATGCACATGCTGTATTATCAGTACCTATGGTTGGTATGCTATTATATAACTTCCATACAGATCCTTGTCATTTGATTGGTGGAACATGCATCACATGACATTCATCAATCCTGCCATTCATGCTGCGTCAGATCGCCCATGTGCGGATGGTAAAAAATAAACAACGGTTTTAGGATCGTCCTTGTTTCCATGACATACATGTATGGATGGCCTTGTCCCTTAAGAGGCAGCAGGAGCACAACATGCAGCACCTGATGTGATTTTGACGTCATCTTGTAACAAATCACGTGACATTAAAAGAGCACTCTTGGAAGTTCTATATCTGGTGAAATACACGTCCGATTGGGTTGAAACTTGGTGTATAACTCGAAGGTCAAGGGTTTTAGACCAAAATTGAGCTGACATGATCATGACATCCTCAGGTGACAAGTCATGGGACATTAAAAGTGATTTTTTTTTAAAGCCTAATATCAGTGAAGTACATGTACATATCCCATCGAACTTCACAGACAGCTAGAAAGGGAAGGGTTCGCGATGGAAATGATTTTTTTGAAAACCCTTTGAAACCGAAGCAGCTCCGTGGATGTTCACGACCATGTCTGTTCTCATTAGGATTTGAAATTGTTTGAAATTTATTTAAAGGTAAATTAATTGATAAGGATCTATATGACAGTTATATTAAACAAATAATGAATGTTTTTCACTCGTGCAATGGTAAGAATATTTTCATGAGTTGAAAGAGGGAATGTTCCATTCAATGAGGCAAAAATTGGATAATATTGCACTACTTCCATTTCCAACGCTTCCATTGCCACACAAGTGGGTGTGGCTCATGTTACAAACATATCAACATGCCAACAAACCACAAACTGCATATGCAGCAAGGTATGAGACGGAGAGAACCCCCCCTGCTTTGTGTTGGTCATTGTCTCGCAGGAATCTGAGGAATTCCTTTCAGACATCTTGGGAGGATGTGTTAAGTAACAATAGTCTAGAATGTGTATAGGGATTGGACATGTTGGGGGGGTACCCCTCGGTCTCATTTCTTGCTGGGTATAACAACTGTTTGGCTTCATATGGACCCTCCAAAGTGTGGCATTGTTTGCCAAACAAATGAATCAATCTACCACACACATGGCCGACATGAATTTTGCTGCATGGACTTTATGGCAGTTCCATTACTAATTCCAATTAAACCTTTGGTCCCTGTTGCTCCCCGAACCACCCAGCTTGAATGTATACATGTAAGTCACTGTTGCACCCCCCCCCAAATCGGCCCTCTTTTTGTCACGGTGTAATATACATGTACATGTATAGACCCACATGGACAGTGGCCTCCAACATTACATTAAAGTGCAGCTTGGGAGTTCCCCAAGCAGATGTATTAAAGAAAGACTACTGTTGCTATAGAAACAAATGATGTTAAGGCTTTTAATGAAGGTGGAACTACATCTAGCTCCTAACACTTTGTGATAGGCCTACTGTGTGTAATTCATGTTTGACCGCTGCACAGTCGATGCATGCTGAATGCACACGTTTGTTCTGCACTGATCATGGCAACCTTTCTGACATGTCTTGCTGGAAAACGATCAAAACGTATGTCAAAATGATTCCTATAGTCAAGACCCCGATCTAATAAATGTTCTTGGAGGAGATCAATGTTCCCGAGCTTTTTACTGCAAAGATTAAGGGAAATGTCAGGTCCTAAAATCAGCCTTGTCAACGTCATTGACATTGACAAGCCAGTTGTGTTTTGTTTCTGCATGTTCTAACGAAAACACAACTATTTTGAGACTGTTTCTTGATGATAGTGATCATCTGTCAACTGGAATAAAAGCTGTGATATTCAGAAAAGGGTTTGTGTGTTCCTGGCATACATGTAGTGTATGTTGGCATACAGCTATAATGCATACATGTATTTGCTTTTAGATATACTTTTCAAGCAGTAAACATGTTTTTGCAAACTACTGTACATTTTCTATTTTTTCCTCATTTTTGAAAGCTCAAAGATCATTGATACAAGATTAGACGGACAAAAGGTGTAGAAAAGAGTGTTTCATACTCTACGACATAAACAAAACTTTCTTTAGAACAAAATGAAAGAATTTTCTATTGTGTGACAAATGTTGTATCCCACAGTATTTATCCCAATATTTTTCCAGTGAGAAATGACCGATGTGATGGATGTGTGCAAGTGCTAATGGGTTAATCTATCATGGTTTGATTACAGGATTATCGTGTCAATCTTTAGACCAATACCGAGCAGGGAGTGAATTCTCTTCCTTTACTTGTCTTTTAGCATGCTCCAAAGTGTTAGACTAATTGTCTTTGGTTCAGTAGACCCTGCTACCAAAAAAGTAAAAGTTGAGAAAAATATTCACGTTTCTACCACACACCAAATGCCACACAAATGAAATACAACACATCAATGCACACATCAAATTTGCCATGCAATGTCTACCCAATTTTGCAGTCTGATATCTTTTTGCAAATGGTAACAAAATGGCAGCACATAAGTTCAAGTTTAAGGGATTGATGAATTCATCAAAGCCTAGGGTCTGAAAAAGTGTAGTTTTAAAGTGAACTTTGTGGTAGAGTCATTTGTTGTAGTGCTGAACATGTATGTACTGAGAGATACTTGAGAGATGGTATCATTGCTGAGATTTTACTTTCATCGGGGAGAGAAGTTCAGTGTTTCTCTCAGGTATGGGAATCCATGATTTCATCTACAGTGTTGATTGTGATGGTGTACATGTACTCTAGGCATGCCGTCGGATAAAGTTCTATTTGTTTCTCAAGACTTACTCCAGTTGGTAGTGGGCACACTCGTTCATGGTTGTGACATACTTGTTGGCATCAGCCCATGAGTTGGTGACATTGCTGAGATAACATGTCTTCCCTGACAGGTTGAAGGAGTGGCAGCTGGGATCCTTGGAACAAGCCATGCAGCATTGTATCGGATGCTTGATGAGGGTTGTCGTGTAGGCATGGTCCAGAAGGCAGGAGGGCATGGTCGGGTCAGCATCTGCCTGGGTGACAGTGTTGCAGCGAATGGCACTGAATCGGTTCTCCAGATGTTTCTCGCAAACAATTCGTATTTTGCTAGAGCAAGCAATAACACCAGATTGTGAAGGAAACGGTCTGAACACTGCACAATATGCATTGATTTCTGCAAGCTCCTGTTGGTTATCATCAGAGCACACCAGCTGCCCATCCGTTACTTACAACCCAGCCAGACCCATTTATACCAATTAGACATGGGAAAATATTGTTTCACCATGCTGCTTGCAAATGCTGTCTCTTTCTGTGAATTGAGGACCAGGAGTTGAGCCCCAAGGCCTGCACATTTCTCGTAAGCATTGATCCAAGGAATGCCAAATTCTACAGCGAGGAACTTGGCATAGCAAGAATGGTTGAAGTATGTCCATCCATGTGGACAACTCTGACAGATAGCGTCAGTCCCAAGCACTCCAACCACCAGACCAAGCCAACATCCCACCAGAATATTCTGAATCTTCAGATGCATTTTAATCCAATGTGTTAAACGCTCTCCAGAAGATTAATCTCGATATTAAAATCCAATTGCTTTCTTTCACAAGATTAACAAAAAACTCTTGCTCATTAAAATTTAATGATTTTATCAAAAACAGGTCTGTTTGACAGTAAGTGTGCAGGCTCTATCTGATGTCTTGTTCATATGTGAAGCAAGTACCAACTGACACAAAGTTCTTCCTATAAGCAAAGCTACCAGTGATTTAAGGGTTGTTGTGGTAACTTCTGTGTGGCAATTCAGGGCTTATTGATACTCATAGATGCATGCTGAATCCTGTAATGAACTTGCCTTTTGACTGTGCAAAATGGACTGCATGATGATTCCAATTTTATTAGGAATTGCGGTCACTTAATAAAGGCACGTACCCTTTTCTAATGAACCATGAGACTGGATAAGGTGAAGTCTGGTACAAAATTAACATCTCTGTCAGTTTCACGACTCAGTCATACAGCTGAATGCTATTGCCCCGAATAAACCTGTATTTAATAGTCAATTGCAGGCATTATGTTGAGTGTAATAAGAAATATACGTGTCACTTCTTGTAGCCCTAGGTTTCAACAAACATATAACTCTCACAAACATAGTTGTCATCTTTTCTTTTTTTTAAAGTAGTGTTTTCCAATCTGGATAATGTGAATAATTACCTGCTTGCGCTTTTCAAAAGTTCAGCTGTATGTTGAAAAATCTGCCTTTGAAAACAAGATTTGTCGGTACCTGTCTTCTGTGTACGTGAATTCACATATGAAACTGATGGTTATAAATTCATTTTCACCTCAAATAGAAACTGCAAGGACAGTTGTCACTGGTAATTCCTGATTCAGTTTTGCTTTTGTCCGAGAAAACCACAAAAACACAGTGGGGAAACTTTTGTTCAGGTCTGAAGTTTGCCATGAAGAATGAGAATATTGATATAGTGATTTCTCTATGCTTTTGTGAGTATCTTGTAGCATTGTTTTGGCATCTTTTACGGTTAATTAATTTGGAATGTACATGTATTTCATGTCTGGGAGATCAATTTATTAAATTATATCACACTAATTCTCACATCACTTAAGACCGATGCTCTGAAGGCCGCTAGTGCTGAGCATTAAATGAATGTTTCTTATCACCAAACAGAAACTGTGTGGAGGGGTTGTCATAGAAACTATAATTCCTGATTGGATTTTGGTTTGGCTGGACAAAAAAAGCGATGGTTACTTTTGTTCTTGATTTTGGTCCTCATACATGGGCATGTTTGTCTAGTCTTTACAGTTCAACCAACAGATTTTTTTTTTTTGTACATAGGGTTTTAGGTTTCTTTGGATCCCATAGACCAAATGTCAAAGTAGAAGAAACATCACACCACTTCAAGTTACACCAAATACCGGTGTATTGTGAGAAAACATGACATGTACATGTATTACTCATATCATTATGACACAATATTTTTTCACAGTATCTTACAAGGACTTCCCTTTTGAAATGTTCCAAATAACTTATTCTGGGATCATATATTTGTGCATCAATAAAATGGGACCTGAACAAAACAATTGCAATGTACCAGTACATGTACACTGTACATGTAATTGAGATGCAAAAAGTATGCTGTTGTGGAATGGGATCATAGTGGTGGGCCATTTGTGTTTGCCAACACTTTTCTTTTTATATGGATATGTAGGTCTCTCTCAACTGATGTCACTTCCTACAGTTTTTGTGCCGTGTATTGGTTGCACCGTATTTCAAGCATATTGGGATCAGGAGTTTGACATTTAGAACATTTTGCACGTCGCATGCACACGCACCCATTGGCGTTGTGTACGTAGTTTCCTACAAATATGGTGTCCAATGAGAGTTCTGTTGTGATTGTCACTGATCAGCTATTGCTTACGTACAGAGATCTTCATGTTCAATGGATGTCACTTTTTGAGTGTCCCCAAATACTTGCCCAGCCTCAGGAAACTTTCTGTTGTTGATTTACAGAGTGGAAGAATTACGTGGCAAGTACAAACTGGTGCAGCTGAAGAAGATGCTGGCAAACTACGACCTGCGGCATGATGATGTACGCAAGGATAACGCTGCGGTATGTTGAATTGACCAAAATGCATCTCAGGGTTTGCCCACGATTTTTCAAAATTGTCAGGTGATTTCTGTCATGGTTCAATGAGAACTTTCAAAGCCCGGCGTGGGGTTCAGGGTCCACTTAAAAAAGGGCCCCAAATTTTGGACTGAGATGCTCTCCACCAAAAAAAGAAGTGGTATATTAATGGGGCTTTTTAAAATGTAGGATATTAAGATTTCCTTTTTGCTTAATGCACCGGATTAAAGAACTTGTCACTCTAGGTGCAAAAGGAGTCACTTGTAGTGTCAAGACATGCAACAACATGTAGTGCCTAAATCAATATACCTGTAAATCAACATCTGAATCAACCATTTATTAATTTTTGTGTGCTTCATATTTGAATATGTAATGTGTAACGTTATGATGTTATTGGCTAAAAAAATAGACTCTTTCTCAGGCTAACTTTCTGAGGGGCAATTACTTTATTTGGTGCAAAATAGTTACACCACTCTAAAACCCATTATTTTCAAAACTGGACAATCATTTGGAAGAAGCATATCTCTCTGTTACAAATCATGTGCCTTTACAAGCTTTTTCTTTGTTAGGCATAATTTTTGGCCCCTACAAAAGATTTGATTTTCAGCTACCTGTATTCTCTCAACTTTTGTCCAATGTTACATATTAATTATGCGCATATAGATGGTGATAAAATACATCCTTGCTAGTGACAAGGCGGACTGTCTTGAGGATGCACTGCAGGTAACCAAGGCCTACAATCACTTGTCCCCCACCGATGTTTACATCTTCAGACTGAAATCACTAATTCAGCATGACAGAGTAAGTGGTGATTTATTTCGCTGAAAAAAACAAATTAATCTGAGGCATCATTCATGATCTGGTACACTGAGTTATCTGATTGCACATAAACATAATAAATTGAATTCCCCAGACTAAAGACACTGTTGCTATACCACATGATTTAGGGCTAGCTTTTGCTTAGCAACCACCGTCTCTGGTTCTTTTATGCCTTCTTATCCATTGAAAACAGTGAATCGGTGCAGGGCGTCTCTTATGTAACGAAGCAAAAGCTTGCCCCGAATTTTGTGGTATAGCAATAGTGTCTTTAGTATGGAGAATTCAATTTATGTTCACGTGAATTTAAAGAATTCAGTGTACCAGATCTTAATTTTAACTTAAACTTTAGATTAAAATTTAACTTGCAAAAGGCTTATTGGATTTGCAGAAAGCAGTTTTATTAAGATACCACCTTATACAAGTATGCAGTACAGTCATTCAAAAGAAAACCAAATTGAAGAAAATGTTACAGGAGGGCAATATTTTAAGCTGTAACATATTGGCCAATGGACATGTCTATCTCACGAGTACACAAAGAGGTAGGAAACTTCATTGGGGTTTAACACATTTTCATACTGCTTAATAGAGTTCAGAGTGACATAGAAGCTCATCTACTTCTTTCCGTAATAAGCCATTTGTTCTTCATGCAACAGAATTCTTAACACCAGAGTGATCATGAACCTTCCACAAATACAGATTCAAGATGGAATTGAGTTGTTGTCATCACTGAACCTGCCTGAAGCTGTGGAATGTGCCAAAAGGGTCGTGACCTGGGCTGAGGTCATCCTCAATGAACCCCCATGCTTCAACTTAGATTCAGAGGTAAGACTTAGCTGTAAATGGTTTCAAATATGTTTTGACTGGGTTTCTGCTCTTTTTGTTTTTGTCTTTTTGGAGGGGGGTTAAGTGCAGATACATGTAAGTTCTGTATTCCTTCCTCCTTGCTAAATGCAAATAAAAAACTGGTAGAAAGAGTGTTGCAGTCATCAAGAGATACATACTTGATGGGGTTGTGGTCTCAAAAGTGCATGGACTTGGACCCACTGGTCTTCAAGGAGATCAGTGCCTAACTTGTCTTTCTTACAATCGTTTCCAAACAACCCTCTAAAAGGGTGGCCAGACATGTTTATGATTATCTCGTAGTCGCTTCAGTGTGTTGCCTTTTGGTGGGGTGTGGATGTTGCCGTTTGGTGGGGTGTGGACACATCTGTGTCGTCACTCCAATCTTCTGCTCCCTCATTATGGGTTTCTCTTGAACTTTGCTGGAACTTCGTGTGTGGGGTTGTTACTGCTCGCCCCTTCACCCCTGGCAATAACCCTTGGTCATTCTCAGCATAAAAGCTTTTTATTCTGAACTTTAAGTCTTGCACAATCACCCTTACAGGATAAGAAAGAACTGATTTTCATCACTCAAGGAGCCGTCAGCATCTTGAAGTTTCTCCGTGCCAAAACGACGCACTCGTCAGACCTAAAAGACTTGGAAGACCTCCAGAAGGACCTTAAATGCGTGCTGTCATTGCAGGTAAATGTCCAGCAGTACATATGCATGCAGAAGCCCAGCAGTACGTAATTATACTAGTAGTTGGTGATAATTTACTCTCTGTTTTTTTGAGGAATTTTGACGGCTTTCAAGTGGGGCACAGTGCTTTTTTCCACCCGAGGACTGCGTGTCTGTACTTGTGCTATTGCCCTTGAATGGGTTAAGTATACATTTCACATCACAGCAGTTAGCATCTCATCATATATTGTTCCAAACAAGGGTTAATGTTGGTAGATCACCGCAGTGTATGCGTAGCCTTTGAGCTTTTCTGCCAGAGACAAGATTGGAGAAGATACGTTGCCTGTTGCAATGTGGGTGCACCTTACACAAGTCTCCACACAAATCTGCCTAAGGCAGTGCCTGCCCAAGACAGATTATACAACACAGAATGCAAGAAGTTGTTAAAAAATCCTGGCAGTATTACCATTCTAAACGAATAAATACTGCATTCAAGACATGGTACCGCAATGTGCCAGTACGTAAATGCCAGTCCAGAAGGGCTAAAACAAAATCAAAGAAAGAAAGGTGGATGCTTGATACACTGAGATCTTGCCTTAAATGTACACAGGTACATCAAAGATTGCCAACAACTCCTTCAAATTGTCTGAATTGCTATGGTTATGGCACCTCTTGATGAGTCTTTTGTCTTTGTCACAAAGGCCTGCTTGATATACCCAACTAATGCATTGCCTATTTGAGAATGTTTGACCCTGTGTTAGAGTGTCATAAGGAATAACATGTGCTGGCTGCTCCAAGACCCAAAGCTGTATTTATGCCACATCCAAATCTCTTGTTTAAAGTTAGGTCTAAATCTTCCCCAAAAAATTGCCCAAAAATTTTGAACCCCAAATTTATAGCATGGCCTATATTGTAAGACTTATTAAGGCAAAAGGTCTCCATTTTCTGGTGGCTCCAAAAGTGGTTTTTTCCCCTCACTCTTTTTTCTGCACGTAACGCCGGCCGCTACCAACACTAAAATAGACTGGCCCCCAACCTTTTACTGTTTAAAAGCATTTTCAGCTTACACATGTACACAGGACATAAGACCACCTTGTTTGTCTGGTTCCAAGATGTAAATGTATAATACAGAAATGACGTCATCTTAAAAAGAGTGCCCAACTAAATATATTGGCAACTAGAGGGACTCCTTTACTCTACAACCATACCCCATCCAACACATGTTAAAATTACACGGAAGCTGGATTCCTGTTGATTAAGCAAGTTTGGCAGCTTTTGGACATCGTTTTATACCAATTAGAAAAGTTTTTTGGGCCAACACAGGTCTACAGTGACATGCTTGCTGACCAGAAACCGGAGAGTTTTTGGTGGCCTAATCTGTTCTCTTTTATTTGGTACCACAGATTGACTTCAATGAGTTCCTTTCACTGAGCGAGTTTCGGGATGCAAGTGTGAGAAAGGTCTTACTGACTAAACACCTTGCCGCATTCTACAGGAACAAAAGTGGATCCTCATTAGACACAAAAGTGCGTATTCTGTGACCAACAACATGTTGTAGCTATCATTCCCAAATTTGATCAATAGCTGGTGGGCAGCTGCATGAGTCCGGCAAAATCATATTGAAACTTAAGGTACATTACATGCGTAGCACTTATGCAGACTAGCAAGAAGAAAGTTTGCATGAGTTTGCGTAGTTGGCATATTCAGTGAATAACCAGTGTTGTACTATAGTTGAGTACATAACAAGTCGTAAGCTACCTGGTACATGCATTCAAATGAACTGTGACAGAAGCATTCTTTTGTCACTATCCACCCCATTACTTGTGACTGGTCTTGTGAACGGACTTGTGAAGAGACTTGTAAAAGGACTTGTGATGCACTACAAATTACTTCATCTGTTGCAGTGACTCCTGTGGGAGTGAAAACAGTATGGATGAGTCTTCGTCAAAAACGAGTATGGAGTAAATGTGCAAAGAGCTAAATTGATATGGAGGGTGCTTTTCTAAATTAAACAATTTATACCTTTATATAAAGGAAGATAAATACATGTAGGCATGAGCTGAACGTAATAAATAGGCTGGGTATTCATCTAGGCACATTTTTACGACCGTCACAAAGTAGAAAATGCCGGGAGTGTATTGATGTTGCGCTCATTGCATGCTGGTTGGACCGACGATGAAAACAAGGCGTAATCTAAATGAAAACCCTTCGTGAAGTAAATGTTGACAAAACCCTCAGTGGACTGGTGCTGGTTGAGGTTGAAATTTCTCATTTTGTAGTGTAGCTTATATTCATCAGAAATTGTACTAAGACATACTAAGACATCCACCAAAGAGCTAATTAAAATGACTAAAAGATGTACATGGTGTAGATGAGCAAGTTTGGCATTTCATAAAGACAAGGTTTCTCGAGAACAGAACATGTACATGATTAGACGTAAGGGTGCTGTTCCTAAATAGCCTCGGATGCACCTCAAAGGAGCATGTGCTATTGGAGAACTGAACCACCTCCTTCTGCAATACTTCTGTGAGTTCCTTGTTCCTTTGAAATCCATCTGTTGAGCTACATCTAGTCTAAAATGGCTCAGCATGTGGCATGGTAAATGGAAGTGTGGAGTGAAGGCTTTTGTGTGTACTTGTTTTTGATGTCAAGATTTGTGGCCAGCCACATGTTGTCCAGTTGTTCCCCAGAGTAAATTACTTTGGGGTTTTTTTGGCAAGTGATTGAATGCACCTATGTAACATCCTTTGATGTTGCATTTAACATTGTATGGGTCTGATGCTGTGGGTTCGTTAGGACAAGATGCCAACGTTTATTATTGTTAGGCTTTTTAAGTGCTACAGGTAGTCTACCTTTGTGCTTCAAATGATTCTAGTATTGAGATATTTTTATTGCAGAACTTTCATTTTCTACAATGAGCAAGGATGTCATAAAGACATGGTTTTTATCTCTCCATATTGTGGTCATTGCTCCTGTGTTTAACTTTCTATAGAGATCTCAGAGCAGACTTGAGACATTATTTTTTTCCTAAGTTTTCTTCAACCTTTTGATCTGCATCATTTCTGGGCTCATTTTGTTTTTAATTTGCAGAAAGAGACCAAGCAGGAAGGAGAGAAAAAGAAAGCAACTTCAGAGAGAAACTTCTCAAGAATATACAAGTACTGCTGTTAATAACAATTCTCTCCAAAGAATGAGCCAATTGGGTATTACAAGATATGACAAGTAACGCAAAATCATTCAAGAACTGTTTTAAGCACCTACATTACAGTTTAAACATGTTCAATATGTGTGAGTTGGCGAATAGCTGTGCAGATATGAACGACCATTTGCTTGCATCTTTGTCTTCTTGAATGACCTATAACACATTTTAGTTTGGAGCATGCACTGTTGAAATACCCAACTGGCCCATTGTGGATGTTGTTTGGACACCTACAGTATTCAAACTTCAGCCGTGGTCCCCATTTAAAGTGTAACACATTTACTGTAGTCTGTAATTTAAAAATTGATTCTACATCTTTTTGTTTCAAAAATGCTGATCATCACTGTTTTTTAATCAGGTAAACATTTATTTATCTATCCATATCTTGAAAAGAATTCGTCCCAGAGCCCAAACTGTATAAACCCGTGTTGCATTGATTATTGCACAAAAAACTGCTAGAATTTTTTATATTTTTCTGTCCTAGATTTCCTTTTCTTTGGCAATTCATTTATGTGTAAGTGTGTGGCAGCAGACCAACAAATGGCCCTTTCTCAGATGTTTTCACCGAGCAAATATTGGGTTCACACTTGAACAGAAAACCTGTAAACTGATCCAAATCCTCTCAGAGTGACATCACATCAACTGCGCTCTCATTTGTCCAGAGAAGCATGGACAATTTTAAATGTTTAAAATGTGCACTTATCCATTCACTCTATCAAAAGGGTATGTCAAACAGTTTTCAGACATTAACTTGCGCAAAAAGTGCATCTGAGAAAAATTCATCACATAGACTCTTTATTATTCTCGAGCATTCAGGCATGCACGTTGAAAAGATGGTATGCAAAGCGGGCCTGTGTGTAGTTGTGTGACTTATCCTAAATTTGTGAAAGAACCGAACCCATTCTGAAACTTTACACACACAAAAACAATCCGAATGTTAAGGCTGTGCTGCATATTTACATATCTGAATATTCAATCAATTATTGAATATTCATTAATTATTTTCCAAATTTGAATATTCGAATGCAAAATTCATGAAATGGAAGGGAGAATTTCCTTTCGTTTTAAATGAGAAAAATTGCACTATGGAGGCTTGTTTCTGGCAGATTCAAGTGAAAGTGACAGAAATCTTATGACGATTTAAAAAGTAAACTATTCACTAAAAAATTTTAAAGAATAAGAATTTTCAACAGGGCAAGAAGTATTGTTCGTCTCTTAAATCTTGCTAAATTGTGGCTGGAGATACTCTGAGATTCGAGAAACTATTATTATGATTATAATGTACAATTGTGTGCATTATTGCAACTGATTTTGTATAAAGTTTGTTCATCAACAATCTGCCGGTTGGTACGGCTGGATATTCGATTGAATTGAGGTCAAATATTCAAATAGTGAATTATTTGAATTGACACAGCCCTACCGAATGTGGGCCATTATGATTTTGAAACTTCAATTGCAGAGGTGGAAGGTGATAAATGTCGCCATTGCATCGCTGTGATTTTGCCTGCATTCTCATTGCAGTCTTGGTCGGTTACTTGGCATGTCTCATGAGAAACTGAAGAGCCAACTTGCAATGAAGGCTGCTGAGATGGGACAAATAAAAACAGCATTGAAAATGTGCAGGTAGAAAAATCTTGGTCCTTTTTTTCCACTAAGCTTTCCCTTGTGAAATGTAATTTTTAATATGTTGCTTCATAAAATTATTCTGTCTATTGCATTCATAAACTTTTTTTAAAAAATGTTATTTATCAGGCTATTTACTTTAATAATTAAATTATTCATTCCAATGCCGCACCGTAAGAATGAATGTTCTAATCCCTGGTGCGTGGTAAATGGAACATGCACCAAAATTTCTTAACTCCTGGGTGATTCAGGTATTTAATTCAGGTGGAAGTGTTTTGTGGATGTGAGGCATTGTACAAAACATTTTTTAACTTGGAGGGAACATTCCATCTGTCACCCTATTAATTCATTTTCGGCGTTGTGAACATTGTACATGCAATTTTATTAAGGGTTTTGTGATATGCCTCTACCAGGTCTCTAAACGGATGTAAATTTTTTGTCATAGCTGGCCCTGAGTATAATCAACATTTTGGTAAAGAGAAGTGTTTCACACTTTACTGCATGTTTTGAATCATTCTCCAATTCTCAGTGAGCTGTCTGAGTACATCCTTACTCCAGAGATAGCCAAGACCATCTATACTATAGCAGACACTATCTGCCGCCTCTGGGCAGAGTCACATCCCAGCATCATGAATAACACTGCAGCTGGTGATGTGCCAAGTCTGTCTACGGAGCTCTACCGACTGGCCTGCAAAGCCCTCACCTATTGTGACCAAAGTAGGTGGAGCTGTGATTTTAATGTAATAAACAATAAACTTGAGGAAGTGATTCACCCACGTTGTGACAAGCTAGGTTCCCTTGTTGGTGTGTCACTGTGGCAAATTGTTTGGGGGACATGAGTACTTCTTTGTTGTGTTCTTTTGTGAAATTGCCAAAGAAATTAACCGATGAGAAACAATCAAGTTAAGTCTTGTTTATGACAGCCAACATACATGTATACCCCATGACAGTAGCAATAAAGCTGGAATCTGTCAAGGGGGTGACGATGCTCTGTGTTGGTTAATTCCGTTAGGAATGTTTTGTCCTGTATGCTTGATCGGGGAGGAAGGAGGTGTTTGGAACAATGTTTCAGGGTAAACTTGGAAAGAGTTGAACAGACTTCTGTTTGTTTCCACAACAGGAAGTATCCATGCATGTTCAGTTTACACTCTCCCTTTTCCCAGATTGTGGCTGTGAATTTTTGTCAACCAGTTTATTCTACATCAAATGCAGGCTAGGCACTAATTAATGAAGGAAAGATAATGGCTATAGTCTGCAAACATGGCCATACAGTGTTTATTTCACAGATCTGCACATCCACTTTGAATCATGCCACTACTGCAAATATGCTGCACAGGTGCTAGTCTTGGGTCCAAGATGCCTTTCGCATTACTTCAATCCGATTGCAGTGTGTGGTATATGATGCCATCTCTGTACATAATGCGATTGTATTGTGACAGAGCCCTCTTTTGATGCATATCAGCCACTAAAGCGTGATACCAATCGTTCATTGATGAGAATGTCCTCTATTGTCAATAGTTATGTTATATGCACAGAGTGCACCCAATAGTTCTGGTTATGCTGGGAATGACTACTAAAAAAATCTTGGAATGAAGCATAGTGTACACAAACTCATTTAAACAAGTGAACACATTGTCCAGCAGTGACATCTCAGTATTCCTTCTGCAATCATCAGACGATGTTCTGAAGTAAACTGTTCCAATACAATGATAGTAACAGCACACCTTTGTTCTGCTGCCAAGATTTATTGTGTGACTGCCTGGAGTTGTGCAAGCTTCTTCGTCTGACTGACGCTGTTTATCATCAGTGTGAAAGTGGCGACTACGGAATCTCTGTTCAGGTATGATAGATACACATTTTATGGCAGCAATCGAGTAGCTTTCAAAGAAATGTCTATCAACTTCTTCAGGACAGTCAGGTGGGAAAGTTGACATTACCGTACCGTTGGAAGTACCGTACAAATTGGCGTTTGGTTCATGCCCAAGTCCATGAAACTGATGAAAGAATGAGGAACCACAATGGTTGCTTTTTTGTTTCAGTCTGGTGTCCTACTCTAGCAACATGCCCATGATATTGCTCTGTGCCATGGGATCCTGGAATTCCAAAGATATGTTACTTGGCACACAGTGGTTTGGACTGACACCAAAAAAAATCTACAGGTATTTTTTAGAGCAATTTAAGTTGGGATTGACAAGACATAACATTTATACATTGATGCCTTTCACCAACTTCCCCTTTTAGCACACAGTCCACAATGGTCACATGCTAGGACAGCTCATCTCGCTACTAAATTAGGCCAACTTGGCAAAAGATTGAGATTTTGAGTTTCTGATATGAACCAGTGGCACTTGCTTTAATATCAGTGACTGCAAGGGTACAAGTAAGGCAACTACACTGACGGTGTTTAGGTTTATAACTTAATTTACGAACTGGATTCTCATGAAATAAAAGGGATTCATTCACTTCCCTTTCCTATTGAATAATAGTCGTTGAGTGGCACAGAGACCAAGCGGGACCCCTACCAAGAGTGGACATTCACTGACTTCTTCCAAGAGAACACTTTGGTGCTGACGTCGTCCTACGCACTGCCAACAACTTGCAAGTTTGTGGCGTCATGTCTGCCAGACACCAAGCCTGACGCTCTCCCCTTGCAGCACGCCAGGATGGCTGGCAGAGCAGCTTTTGACATGCAAGGTTGTTTGACTTCCCCATTGTAGAGGGAACCCTTTGTCATCAGTGTTTTTTGTAGCAGCGGTGGCATTTCCCAGGAAATCGTTTCATCAGAAAAGATTTTCAGTCCAAAATCATGGTACAATAATATAAGCCGGTCTAATCTTCAATATGGAAGACCTAAGTAAGAAAAGTTGGGATACCGTTTTGCTTAACCCATATCCTGCCAGGGAGCCCGGTTTCAGGTACCTTGGGTTTGTACACATAGCCGGGGTGCCCGAAATTGGACAAAAGAGCTGTGGGCCTTGTAACAAAAGACCATACTCGCAACAAAAGACAGAGATGCTGAGAATTGCCTACATTTTTTCAGTTGCCAATAGCGGAGGAAATCCGTCATTGTTTTGAAAGATTATACCACTATTTGTGGCATTCAGCGCGAGCAGATTACCACCGGGGACAAAAGTGCTCCAGCACTCCAGTAATGAGCGACACATTACCACTGCATGCTAATCTGGCCCTTATTGAAAAGACACCAGCAGCCCACTGTGCCAGTTTCGGGAACAAACGAAACTTATGTAACACCACACCATCATGGGGTTTAAGCGGTCAAGAAAAAAAGATAAAAAGTTTTGAAGATTTTTGAAAACCGAAGATGTTGAAAAATCGCCCTTATGTAAGCACTGCATTTTTAAAAGCACCCGGCAGGAAATTGTTAATGTACTTTTCAACACTTCTTTTCTTCTGCTGTGATTCTGATAATTATTTCTGGATTTCAGAATTTTGGCTCAAGAAGTCTTGAGTTGAAGGGGATTCATCATTCTGGTTTGGGTACTTCTTTGCACTTTGTACAAAAGCCCAAGTGCTATCTAAATCGCAAAATATGGGAGAGAGCTCATTGAAGCTTCTAAAATTCACAGAAGTTCATTGTTTACAATGCTACGATCCTTCTTCTGGAAGTTTCTTACATGTTTTCTTTGTTCTCAACCTCCCTCTTTACTAGAATTTGTCAAGATGAGAAGTTTCTTCCTTTTTTTTTGAGGTGGGGGAAATACTATAAGCAAGAGTATTCTTGAATGATTCTCGTAAGGCATTTATGATACCATTAACACTCTACTAGTACATTGCATAGGAGTTTAATCTTGTTCAGAGTGATGCCCTAATTAATTTCATTTAAGGTCTTCATGAATTGAAAACTTATGCCAGCTTGTGTTCTAACGAGTATTTGTGAATTTCAGTAGTGGTTATGTTCTGTTTGATGCTTAGACATGGAAAACCCAGTGAATAGTGCCGATTGTCTGGCCCGTCTCAGCTCAGCAGCTCTGGAACTGATCCAGTATCTCCAGGAGAACAATCAGTATGAGATGGCATTCCTGGTGCTGGCTGAGACGCTGGGTACCAGTCTACAGTACACGGCAGCCAACACCATAGGCATACCTGACCACAAGGTAAGGTGTATGTGTGCCTTTGGCACCAGTCAGGTAGCCTGTTTGCTTGGTGGCCATACCCGTAGCCCACTTGGCAGACAATAGGAATCATATCTCTAGAAGAAAGACGTAATGAAAGCATTTGGTTAATACACATTTTTTGTACAAGATCTGACACCAGATTGTCGCTGTCGACCCTGACCTCTACCTCACTCCATTGGTTCCTTCATCCACAACATGAATACATCCAAGCAACTATGAACAGATTCTGGCCCAAATCAAGTTCTATCGTTACTCTTTTTTCCCTTGCACCATCACCTGGTGGAACACCCTCCCCGGAAGCTTTTATAATCACCACAATGTGAGGTGTTTGGAGAAGCAGATCGAGCAGCCAACCTATAAATTTCATGCTCACTTTTTAAGCACTTGGGTTTCTTCTTTGGTATGGATTTGCATCTGCACATCAAGCTGCCTCAGCATTACATCAAAACTTATGGACTTTGCAGTAGCCCCTAAGTCTAAAACAAGTAGACAAGGTCACAATCAACATTTTAATAAACAATTTAGCTAGTCTGAGTGACCCCTCTTCAGTCGTCTCCAAATGTCACAAAACTTATCCTCATGGAAGGAAGCATCCACGAAACATGCTTGAGTGTACATTTCTCCTCATGGCCATCTGAAGTTAGTTCTTGGTAACATTGTTGGGCAGGAATTGCAGGCACTGATCGCCAAAGAACAGGAAAGATGCAGCCAGATGGTCAAGATTGGGCTACAGAGGATGCGAGACTTCACTGGAACCCTCATGGACAAGGTAAGAGTATCCCCAACCCTGCTTAATGCAAGTCTGCGGAACCTTCTTGAATAAGGAAATTACCTACAGCACTAGGTAGTTTTGAGACATTGGAAGCCAGTTCCATTGAAGACTGTCATTATTGGACTTGTCATGGTATATAAAGGTGTTGTTTTGATTTTTTGGGGGGAAGGGCATTATCATGGCCACTCTCACAGTTGAAGTTTTAATGCAGTTTAATAAAGGGTCTTGTTATGGTCAGTTATGGTTAATGCTCTGTGCCACTGAGAAACAAACTTTGTTAGCTTCTCTTTTATGATAAATTGACATTTGACAAGAACGAGATTTGAACTAAAAGGCCATACATGTTTGGATGCGCACGATTTTTTGGCGCTTTTTTGTCATACATGATTTTGAAATAAATACTGCATGTTCCCTTTTGGAAATGTGGTTGAATCATCAAAGAGATTTCAGTGTTAAAGCTCAAAACTGGACCCGGGGTCCCACCATCGTATGGTTTGGCATCGGTATCTTACTGTTAGTATTCTTCACAGGCCCAGCTTATACTCAGCTAATTTGCTGTGTTGTGTGACTTCTTGATAGATCTTTGGCAGCCGTAGGGTGGATCACCATCTGGCGCTTAGCCTGGCCTGTGTTCTACCCAAACAAGGAGCTCTGGAGAAACTCAAGAGCTTGACAGTCAGTGCTGGCCACCACTACCGCAAAGTTCTGGTAGGAAAGGCTCTTATACATGTAAAAATTGTAACATTGCTGCCTAAACCACCTCTTAGTTGCCATGAACAGCATAATGAGTAACTACTCATTAGATCAGCTGGTTGAGTTGCAAGCCTTCAAACAAATGTTGCCCAGTGGACCCTAATAGATGGACGAGCATTTCAAAATACCACTGAGCCCATGATATTCCAGCAGTACAAAAACCTACCCAGTTGGAAGTGTTTGACACTGCAGTATATTATTTTTTATACAACCTCATGCATGGCAAAAAAATCACGTTTACCGCTCTGGCTGGACATTCTGATGGTTGATATTAAGAGTGAGAGATGCAGTGGCAGTGTCTCTAAAGCTCTGCACGGTTGTCTTCGTGGTCTTGGTGCAGTGATTCTTCACCGTGTCAGAGCTCATATCAGCCTGCTGCAATTCCCCAAACAGGGCTCTCCACTAATAGCTTTCCTCTGTCCCTCTCTGGTCTTATGCATACCCTGGTACAGCTTTTGACCAGTGGCCTGTGGCTGTTTTAGAGGTGAGATGCCGCAGACACTTGTGGGAGTGGTTCATCCGAAAGCCTGAAATCCTGCCTTGTTGCACAAGTTTGCCATAGACTTGGGTGTTAACAACAAAAATAATTAGAATTAACAACCAAAATAATTAAAATGCATCGTAATTAAGATCCGGTAAGTAACAAATTTTATAAACAAGTGTGTTGCACAGCTTAAGATGAATCATCAATGGAAATAACCCAAAACTACATTACATGAAGAAAGAAGTGGGGCTGACAAACAAAACAAGATCCAAATGATTCATGTAACATATGTAATAATGTAGTGTAGAATATTGAATTTCAGCAAGCAATTATTTTCATTGTTGCGGGGATCCAGAGATGGATCTGAACAGTTTTTTCCTATTTTTATTTTAAGTGACATGAATGAGGAATGTCCTGAGGTCCTAAGAAAGATAAGATCGTTCGGGAAACTTTACCCTCATTAATCATACTCGATTTGCAGGAGTACCACACATCTTTGTGAGGGATTTGGCAGTGATTTGGAGGTAAAATGCTCACGAGCAAGTGGCCTACACCTGTTGATGTTTTGTCTCGGTCTTGTCTATATTGACAACATATTGAGAGGGGTCGCTCTTCTGATCACAAGCATCAACAACCCTTGGTTGTACTGTCCAGTGCCGTAGCCTTCCTCTATTGTTTTATTTTTAACTCCTGTTGTGTATCTCAGCAACCAGTTGTTGTGGAGAGACTGTGCTAAGACTTAATGAACTTGAAGCGACGTGAGCAATGCTTCTTTGCACCTGGAGAGCTGCTCCGGAAGCTGCTCAGAGAGCTAAGTGAAGGTTGATCAGTACACAGCAAATGACAAACCAATTTTTCAGGTGTGTCACTGCTGAGAATTCCTTTGGACCACTGTTCATTAGCTTTCTCATTCTCAGAGGACACCTGTGCTTGTTTTGGGGGGTGCTTTTTGCTGATGGGAGACGGCTGAATCATGCCGGTGTCTACAATTTTTTTGTGTGGTTTGAAAAGCTCCTCATGAAAGAGCTCCAGGCTACCTTCAACCTTCATTTCCAGATGTAGTTGCAACAAGGTGATAAGTTTATGCAAAGTTTTGGCCTGTTAATCCTGTCTATTTTCCTTCTTTAATAGCTTCCACGACAGAGCAGCGTAGGGAGTATCAGACTTTGTCTTCTGTCATCTTGATTAGTTACATGCATATCAGACTTGATGATAAACTCTGGGCTCTCCACGGCTGTTTGGTTTCTCTCCGTTTTCTACACATTGAAAAACTGGGCAGCCCATGCACATATTTCTTGATAGCTAGTAATAACTTGAGCAAAATATATAGGCAGAAGATGTTATCAGTCTGGGAAATTTAATATCGCATACACAATTCTCTGAGCTCTGATTTGGAATGATGATAAACCTTAATAGTCCAAGGGGGGAAGAAATAACCACAGGGTTATAATAATTGTTTAAGTTTATCATGATTTCATCCAGAATGGCATTCGTGTGATTGGGTTGGTCCATCAATGTATCAGATAAAATAGAAGTCAACCCAAGATGATAATATCCAAATCCTTCTGCCTGGTAAGGATGAGATATCTTGCCTGAACTGATGTTGTCGATAAGGGTTCGTATTGCATGCAGTGGTGCTCATAAACATCACAATAATATCACAAAAAGTAAATACTGTGAATCTCGTTCTCTCGAAGGCCGTTGCCAAAGTGGGCTGTGAACTGGGGAGGCTGCACAACGAGCCAGCAGTGGAACAACGATGCAGAAAGCTAGAGACAGACGCAACCTGGGGCCACCAGCTTGGAAAACTAAAGGTCAGCCATACAAGCATGCAACAACCCCCCCCCCAAAGGCACCTAGCAGCCCTTTGTAAAGAATCACCAAGGAAAACTGAGACTCCACTTTATTACTACATTGTATGCTCATCGATCAAAATGAGAAGATGCAGTCTCTCGTTACAGCACTCTAAGAGGGAATGACTTCTTTGAGCATGATATGTGTACAGCGCTATCATCATGTTATGCACATTTGTGACTGGCTCCACAAAAATGGGTACTATGGGAAATTTTTTTCAAAAGGAGTTACATACAGATTTGAATTGGTTACATTATAAAGCTTTAATTTGGTGTAGGTTTGAACCCTTTGGCATTTTGCAATCTGGAGATTGCAAAAATTGTTGATTTTATTGATTTTTGCATAATCATATCATACACAGTAACAGAATTGCTTTCAGAGATAAAGTCCTTTAAAAAAGGAAATGGAAAAAGAAATCAGCCAAGAAGAAAGTCTCTTGATACCCATAGCAACAGATAGGTTTCTTGTATAAATTGTGAAAGTACTGATATACTAGATGCCTGTAAACCAAGAAGTAAAAAATCACCCTGTCCACATAAAAAAGCCCTAAATGTGAAATAGCACATTATCCCTCAATATCCTTTTTCGCAGAGCGGGTCACATTTTAAGCTTTGGTACCACGCATCTGCAACATAATCTGAAGTTTTAAGGCTGTGCACGTTATAGTCAATCACAGAATAATATATGTACATATGTACATGTTGTCTGAAATTGTACACATTTCTTTTTGCAAAAACTTGTGTGTATGACAGTATGTGGAGTCAAATAAACACAGTTTTATCACTGGCAAAGGCTTTTGTTAAGGTCATTTACACTTCACATTCTCATGGGTGTAGGCCATGCGTTGAGCACATTTCAGACGGAAAAGTCGCTAAATTAACTTGGTATCAACTCAGAGTTACTAAATTAACTCAGTATTTGTGAATATTGAACAGATATCCTTCAAGGATGTATTCAATGCCCAAGATACCCAAGACAAGAGAATGTTACTCCCAGATATAGTCAAGCACCCAGCTGTGGACATGGATATGATCAAGAAGTACTGCAGGTGAGAGGATTCAACAGCTGCATTATTTTGCATATATCCCATGTATGTATTACCCTCAGTCTTGAGACATGTAGGGCGAGAATGGGGCTCTGAATGACGAGAATCAACACACGAATGTTGTTTGTGAATAGCATTCTCACTTCCCACCTGCTGAGGAGTGGATGGAAAACGTCGAGAACAAAGATGGTGAAAAAAGAAACATACTTCGACTTAACGTTAATTTTGTTGCGTTGTAAAAGTGCCCTGTCTTTTGTTCCCTCTCAGTGCAAATTTTGGACGGCATTGTTGTTTGAGAGCTGATATGGAATCCTTTATTGGTAGCTTAGCTTTCGACCAGGTGCAGTGGCTTTCATCAAAGCTAGTTGGAGGGATATTTGTAATGGAAGATGTGTCTTGACTGTTGAATGCTTGGGGATGTGCTCAGTGTAACATCCATCTTTGAGTAGTTCCCTCAACCTACATGAAGAAATAGTTCTCTTAACACACTGTGACTGATTTACTGAGGAATATCTATGTTTTTCAAGTTGGTGTATTATTTTAGACACTGACATATATTTGCGCATTCATGTTTGGACAAATCCCACAAGCACCATCCTAGCTGTGGTCATACATGAGTTTCAGCCAATGAAATTCACTGTCTGAAATCATGGTACCATCTTTAATCTTGACGCGCCACACCAGTTGTCCTGATTCATTTATATACTGTCTTCAGTAATCCTCTTCATCTGATCCTTGTGTTTGCATGCAGTGCATTTGGACTTGACAAGGACGAGGCCCTGCTACTGTACATTGAGAACCTGCTCCTGCCCCAGGCCGGAGCCGGTGATGCACCCCCAGACACAGAGGCCAGGATACTGAGCGTCATCAGGGAGGTGGCCAACAAGGAGCTGCTGGTTGCAAGACTAACTGCGATCCTTGATAAGGTAAGCAGGGGAGGCAGAAAAGTAGGGGACAAATATATTGCATCTGCTTTGTTTTGAGGCCTGGACTAAAAACACTGCGACAAAATAGAGTAAAGCGAGATGCCTTTACCCTGTGACTTGAATGCCATTGTGCCTGCTTGAGGGAAGTAATGTGGAGATTCTGTGTTTGTCCAGAAGACTTTGTTGCTTAGGTTTCTCAGCAGGAAGCTTTACTTTCACTTACACAGAGATAGAGGGATCTGTAAAAATGTGCTGGGTATGATCACCATAGGCTTATAAGTAGAGATGCCTTGTGAGAAGGAACTGTGGAAGTTTTTTTCAGAACCACAGCAAAGTTACTGTCCACAATATCTACACAAAGACTATCATCTGGTATGGTGTGTTATGTTCCAGGGTAGTCTGTTCGATACGTTTGTTTGCAGGTTTCCACTCTTGAAGGAAGAGGAAATTTTTAATTTCTACTGAAGAAATTATCAAGTGGTCTCATTGCACCAAACATGTAATCTCAGTCAGTGGATTCCTGGGACAGAAACAGTGGAAATTAGTGTGATGCATAGTGGCTGCTAACAACTGATGGAGAACGACACATGTACACTGAATCCTGCAATATCAATATGTCATGTTACGACTGTGTCATTGACCTGTGGATACTCTACATGATAGAAGTACTCTTAACTTTAGTGTTATGGTAAAATGCTTCCTTCAGCTTTCACAAGCATATGATATCTCCTACTGTCCAGACATGTGGGTACTACAGGTTCATGGTTGGTTTTGTTTTCAACTGAACAGGTTGACTCCTATGACTATCTGCGCCTGAACTTCGTCCTCAAGTGCATCAGGGACGAGAACCCCAAGGACCCTTCCGCTGATGTGGTGAGCTGCAGGCCGCAGTGACGAGATCTGCATTTTTATGCTTGACTTTTAATGGCAATCTTTTCCCTTCTTTTTTGCATTTTATTTTGATCATTTCATTCTAGGATTATTTCAAAAAGCACTCTGATTGAAAGAGACGAGATATATCACAGAAATTTTGAAATGTATTGAATACCACAAAGAGTCACTCGTACAGTACTACTTCCCAGTGTGTCACCTTTTGCAATTACTCCAATTACAAATCCACAGTGCAAGGCCCAGAGTTCCTTCAACAGGCCATGTCAATAGCCAAGCTCACACATTGATTACAGACCAAATTTTCGTCTCTCATGCGAGGTCCAGTCTGCATTGGTACAGGGGATAAACTGCACATGACCAAATATTCAGATAAACTATTTAACACAAAGATAAATTATGAGAGAAGCATCCCTGGATTGGATAGAGCCGTCATTTGTATCAGTTGATGTTGTAAATTTGTTCCTGCTTCCAGGGAGTGCAACTCATGGAGTATTTAGTGCACTATACTCGCGTCACTGAGCCTTCAGAGTATGAAATCACATTCAATTGCACATCGGATGAAGAGCAGGTAAACATTTATCAGGATAAAACAATGAGTCGGATTATGCTGTGTCCCTGCGTCTTCATACTGCTTCATCAGTGTTTTACTGAGCGCATTGACTTTGCACTTGTAACAATGTTCTGCTTAATTGTGGAAGAATTTTTCCACAAAGAAGGCGCTGTCTCCTGTAGGCCCCCTCAAAACCCAAATCGACAGTAAAATTTGGGTTTAGGGGCCGGTTTCTTCCTGCATCAGCCTTGAATCCAAATAGAGCATGGGGATTGGGGTGGCAGAAAACAGAAGTACATGTCCAGAAGACCTCTGTGTACTGGATTTGTGGTTATACTCAACACTTCCTTTGGCCACCAAAGTTTCATGAACTGTTCCCAAACTTTTGCTAAATTTTTATGTTCCCAAAAGTCATCAGAACTTCCTCCATGAAATGATTTAAGTTGGGTTCCATTAAAAGGCATCTGTATATGCAGAAGGAGGACATATATTGTGCTTGTGGAGAGACAACAGCCAACACGGTCCATTTTGACTGATGCATACGCACAGGGAGTTGTACCAAAAAAATCACGCTTCACGTTAGATTGCTACGAAGACAAGACGTTTGGCCTCTTGTGGATGTTAGAACCCACCAGTGTTTTTTATTTGTTGCAGCTTCGAAGCACCAGTGTTCCCCTCTCGCCACTGTCTAAGGATCGACTTCCATACCATCCCCTCATGAAGGGGGGACAGTGGAAAATCCTGGGTGAGTTGCAGATTTTAGCTGCTCACAAATCTGCTCACAATCTATAACGGAAGAGCAGGAGAGGTGTGGAGAATGAAGTGTGGGAATGATTTCCCTGGATTGTTGCAGAACCAAAGATTTTGAACCAACATTCTTGTTTGAGAGGTTTCTTCATTCACGTTTTGCTACTTTCTTTAATTTAGCAAAAAAAAAAGGATTAACATAATCATAGCCGCTTGGCAGAGATTGCACATCTCTGCTAACTAAAACCCCTACAAAAGTCAAACTATTCTATTACTTTAATTGTTACAAACCTATGTTGCATGTTTTATGGGTTTTTCTTCATCCTCCAAGACAACCATTTCACAAGAGTGCACCTCCAAGAGTTTGCAATGAGTTGGCCAATAACAATGCGCGAAATCTGTCGACCCTTTCCAAACGCACGTTGGGTCGACAGACATTGGGTTGCAAACTCTTGAGGTACACTTATGGGAAACGGCCGTACTAACCCTAATAAAAGCATGCATGCCCAGCTGAGATGAGATCAGTTATCACACATTGAAGCATTTAACAATGTTACATGGTTGATCATTAGGGAACAGCCAATTCCCTCACCATGTGTCATCTCCCACATCTGTGACACTCTTTTGGGAATATATACATGAAGCTCTGTTAAATATGCAGTTTTAGGACCAACATTTCGTCGGTGGCATTTTGGTTTGGGGGCAGTGGATTGAGTAGGAAAAAAAACAGGTTGAGGACTTGGAAGGATTGGCCAGTTTTGAACTATGACTTTTATATATCAATCAGGTAAAGTTTGTAAAAACTGTCTCACAATTTCAGGAAAAAACGTCTTTGCCACATAGGAGTCTGTTCAATACGGAGCATTGATTACTGACATTTTAGTCCTCCTGTTCCATTATTCCCCTTCTTATTTTGATATTACTGATTTCTCTTAGCACGGGAATTAAATGAGGAAACAGTGCACCAGCTTCTGCCAGTCGCGAGACTGCTAAAGGTAAATTTGCTGAAGCCTTTTGTTGGCGTTTCCTGCTAGATCATTGTTGATATTGTGGCAGGCATCACTGTAATAGGCCTAACAGATTTGTTAGGATTCAGGTTTCCATCGTTTGCGGTTAAGACAAACTTCCCCAGAGATGTTTCATTCGATTTGGGGGTTTGTGTGATAAGGGGTACCCGTTATCCGTGCTGAAAATGTAACAGGGTTTTTCTCGCTGGTCACCTGACGTCCATAAGACAGTGTTGTAGTCAAGTCTGGTGATGAGTTTAGCCAAGTGCCTTTTGATGTGACATCTGCAGTGTGTGAATGCTTCACATAAACATTTTGCATCCCCTAAACATAGCATGTCCCATTGATATTTCTAAACCACTTTGAGTGGAACAAGCTTTTCTGTTGCTCAGGTTGCAGGATGGACATGTGTCATGGTTGTTTTTTTTCTTGAAAAAAAAATCATCGTAGAAAAAAAATCCGCCTAAAATCATCCTTTATGTTCACAAGCACGCTTCAGGCACTCAAAATGCTTTGTATCCTACTCAGTTTGGGACTCACTTCACAAAAGATTTTCAGTCTGACTCAGTCTGTTTTCTCCTGATCATCCTCTGAACAACAAAAAGATGAAAATCCAGAAGGCTGCTATCTAAAAGAAGGGCGTAATATTACTCATCGTGATTCTTGGAGTTAATAGTTGAGAGATGCCAAAACAGATCTTTTTGGTCTCAAACAAAACAATAGCTTGGGTCATCTTGTTTAAACATCCACAGTACTTCAAATGGTGCTACATCCATTTCATTGAAATTTAGTGCAGACAAATCCGACTACAAGAATTAGAAGCCGTTACTGGGGATTGCGCCATCCTATTCGCTTGCAGGTGGTACGCACACGTAACATTCCTCTCCGACCAATATAAATAAGGTACCTTGACTTGCCAAAGTGCATGTGCACACTCAAGTCAAGATAGGTGTGTGAGTGCAATGGCCCCTCCTGAATGGCATCTCGTTGGATTGGTCCTTGCATGTACATTGGAAATTGAATTCCTACAACAGTATCTCTTCAGTTTTTCCCTCTTCAGTTATCTTGCAAAGTTGCATTGAACATTTCTTTCAGTATCTTTTCTTTCATTTTCAACAAATCATCATGTTTGTCAATGTTTTTCCTGTAGCTTCCCACTGACCATCTCTTTGTGACAACCATTAACAACTTGATGAAACGGGCCGGCGCTGACGACACGTCCCCAGACAGACCCTCCGGGACAGTGGGTGACAGAGGGGGCAGCAGAATGGACAGGAAGAGCCTGGAGGTGGTGCAGAAACTCCTGCTGAGTATCTCCAGCCCTGAGATGGCTGTGGCTACGGCCAGGGTGGTCGTCAAGGAGCTACCCATGGGTACTTTGACAATCTTTCCAAGTTTTAAAATGCATCGTAGAAAAAATTACATGTCATCTTGAATAAGGAAGTAAATAATGTGCTTGGCCGGTCTTAAGGATTCATTCATACAGTGTTTGTTAAACCTGACTGATTTTACTCCACCTCAGAAGGCCTCAGTATTTTTAACAGGAACAGCGGACAACATATTAGTTCCAAGATGAGAAACATGAGCCTTTGTCAGTTCTCTTCAAAGCATCTAATTTGCTCTCTTATTTACCAGTACAAACTGCAGGTGAAAAGTTTCTTTATTCTTTTTTTTCTCCATTGAATATATGTTGAAATACTGCATATTATGATAACTTCTAAAGTCAGCCACTCCTAAAAGGAGCGTGATAACTTGTGATTCTGTAAAACAGATCTTCAACTTTTAGATCGTTTTGATGACAAATCTCTGAGTGAAGATCATGAACAAGACAGATGATTTGTGTTTTATGAATAAGTATTTTTGCCAAATTACTGGCACATTTGCCTGACATGTCCTGATATTTTTCTCTGCAGGCCCTCTGAAGGTGATGGCTCTTGAAATCTGTGTTCTCCTTGCTCGTCTCTGGAAAGAGAAATGCCCAGACAATGTGAGACCCGCATGCATATTCCTTAGAACTGTTGTGGCCATCTTTCCAAGTACGGCTGTGTTTTGTAGTGGACCCTCAAACTTACTACATGAATGGGATGATAGGTGGGATGAAGTCAGAGATGGATGGGATGATGGAATGGGGATAGGAGGGGGGCGGAGTTGGAGATGGATTAGGATAATGGGCGGGGCGGAGCGGAATCCAAGAATGATGGGATAGGGCGGAGTAGGAGATGGATCATGGGATGATGACATGGGGGTTGGAGCAGCTAGGAGATAGATGGAATGGGGTGGGATATTAGCTGGATGGGATGGTGGCGGCAGAGTAGGAGATAGATGGGATGATGGAATGGGGGTCGCAGCAGGAGATGGATGGAATGGGGTGGGATATTAGGTGGATGGGATGGTGACGGCAGAGTAGGAGATAGATGGGATGATGGAATGGGGGTCGTAGCAGGAGATGGATGGAATGGGGTGGGATATTAGCTGGATGGGATGGTGACGGCAGAGTAGGAGATAGATGGGATGATGGAATGGGGGTTGCAGCAGGAGATGGATGGGATGATGGGATAAGGGGTGTAATAGGAGATTGATGGAATGGTGGGTATGGGGTGGAGTAGGAGATTGACAGGATGAAGAGGTGGGGTTATGTGAAATGTTTTATTTTACATCCATAACGTAGTCATGTATTAGTCATTTTTTCTGTTCTTGCTGTGTGTAGAAATTTGACAAAGCTTGCACGCAGTAAATGATTCCCTTGTTTAATATAGCTGGGCCATTTTTAATTTGCGTGGATGTCTCTTAACATGAGATTTTTTTACAGTAAAGAAATGTAGATTCGTAGGAAGCTGTGTGGTGGCCTCGCTGCTCTAGTTTTACAAATGTGAAAGAATTATACATTTCCACATTTGCTTTTCCTGACACATGAGGGCGCTGTTGCCCTGAGGTCATTACACGAAGGCACTATTTATTTGGAGGTTTTCCTATTCAAACAAACCTTTGGTTGTAAAGCAGAGCCCCGAGAAGCAGAAGGCAGAGTTGACCCACCAGAAGCTGTCGCACTTCTGTCGTTGCCTGGCCACCGAGCAGGTGCTGCACAGGCACCAGCTAGCCGAGCCCGAGCTCCTCCAACTGGTAGACCAGCCGGCCAAGCTGACCTGCAAGCTGTATGAGCACCAGAGCATCGAGAGGAGGATCCTGGACCTGGACCAGGGAGGCCAGCCAGGTGAGACTTGCGACGCCAACTTTGTCTGCCAAGTCCCAACAGCTTAAGGATAGCGAAAACGTCTGGTCTCACTTTGTCAGTGCTACATGAAGAGTGACCACCACTTTTTACTCGGGGCATAAAAGTGAAATCCTAACTCCATGTCTCATACCCAGAATATTAAGGATTAGACAGCCTTGCATAACACAAATAGTGCTTGGATGGAGGGTAGATTTTCTCCCATGATGCTTTGTTTCAATTTGGCTAACATTCTGTGAATATAAAATGTACAAATAGTTCTTAAGTTAAGAACTACACCCAGCGCATGAAAAGTGCAAAATTGTACAGTTTGCTACGACCTCATTGTTTCACTTATTAAGAATGGGACCCTAATTTCAAACTTTAATACTCCTTTCTGCAAGCTTTACAAAAGCAATTGAAAACAGGGCTCGGGCTATGATTAGATAGTAGTTTCTCAATATGCAAACACTAGCTATCAAATGGGAACTAAAATGCAGTTGGCATTGATGACATGTTGGCTGCACGCTAGCGGTACAGGTATTTGAAGACACTCTAGATGGAGCATGTCATGTCCTGCTGGATTTCGAAGGTCAAGAAGTTGCCAGCGGAATGGCAGATATTCTCTGGACAACATCACAGCTATGTAACAACACCCACTCGGGTTGTACCACACCATGTATATCCTACCTGTAACAATTTAAATTGAACGATTCAAACAGTGTTGTACTACTCTAGTGTGCCAGGTCTTTTTTTCCCCCATACTGGAGACTGCTTGTAGAAATGGGAGGATAAAATCCTCTTTCCCTGAGGGAGATTCTGCTGTGAAATTTTCTGTCATTTGCAGACATCCACGCTGCTGCGAACGCTATTGCCGAGGTCAACAACTGCAACATTCAGAAGATCCGACTCCATCTGATTGAGCAGTGGTTGCCCAACACATCCAGCAATAAGCAGGCAGAGGAGGATACGGTAAGAACTGTGTATCTGCTTCAAGGGGGAACAAGGGAGGGCATGTGTTTACACGGAAACAACGGTCCTTTGGTGGGAACTCACTGCACGAGCTTGCAGGTTTATGTGCGTTTGGCAGGGAGCCAGCTGAGTACACACCATCACAAAGTGTTGGAAGGTAATGGTCTTTGCGCGTGCCTTGGGCACAAATCCTTCCTGACTTTGACACAAAAGGGTGCATCTTTTAAACATCGGCTTCATCATGGAAATCTAGCAAGTGTTTTGTGATCTGCACCTAAAAGGTGAAGTGCATATGCACGCCGGCACATAAATTGTCTCCATCTCCAGCAGTTCTAATAACCCCTTGAAGGTTTTTAAAATTTTACATCATGCTCCTCGTTGCATTCTCGGTCCTAGACGGTGGATCTCTCCAGCCTGTCATTCATGACACCCAAAGAAGAGAAGGTGGCGGAAGAAGAAAGAAGCCTCGCAAGGTAGACCATTTAGGAATTGTTTGTCGCATCTTGCATTTGTCTGGGGTTGGCTAGTGAGATAGTGGGAATTGAGAAAGCATCAGTCCCTGTTGGTGGAGGCTGCCCATCATCATTTTTACAGGAAGAGTTTCGTTGGTCATTCTAAAAGGTATTCAGCGGCCGGTGTGGTGCCCCAGTAGTAGACGAAATTCTGCACATTCCTAGAGTTTTTCTGGGTTTTGGCATGACAGAATTCTAACACTGTTCTCTTGCTCTTTATTTCATAATGTATCAGCAATGTAAACATGTTTATGGAGTATTGAAACCTAATCATTTTATCTTTTTAGTTTTCTCAATGTCTGTTCAGATTATGTCATTAAGCCTGAGGGCTGTGATGCTGATTTTGTATTGAAACAAACTATTATTTAATAATTGATCAACACCACTGCCCTTTTTGGCCGTTGCCGAGGTCATAAATATTTTCTTTTTAACTCGTGCTAGTTTTATAACAATGACTTTTTGAAAACTATGTACTTCCATTTTTCAGAGTGAAATATCTCCTTCAGTATGGTGGGGAGGTCCGGGGAAGTGCCCTGTTTCTTCTCAACTTTGCTTACAAGGTTTGCGGATAGAACTGAATTTCCCTACAGAAATATATTAAGCATGGCTGTTATGTCACAGTTTTGTAGTGTCATTCCGCCAGCATCCATTTTTCATTCCGCAGCAAACCGTTTGTCGTGAGACATAAAATTGCATTGGGGACAGAACACTATACCTGACCTGCTTCAGCAGTGATATGTAAGATTGAGGCTCAGGTAGTTACTAGTTAGTATCATGGATGTAGAATTAAACTATCAGAATCTATATCGAGAGCTAGCCTGGACTAATGAGGCTGTCTTGTTCCCCGTAAGAGCAAGCTGGTTCTGTGCTACTTTTCCAGGCCAGTCCAGCATACAACCCCACTAGCCCCCAGCTCCCTGAGCTCAGCCAGTGCACATTTGCAAAACTCCATAGGGTCTACATGTTAACTATTTTGTCTGAGAATGCTGATTGGAATAGCTTGTGTTCATGGATGTAGGTATATATTCATGCCTGAAATAAAGTGAGACAACCAGAACCCATGACTTGTAAGTGGAGAGCTGTTATATACCCCATGACATGGGCACCAGACCAAGTCAGAAAAATACTGTATCTGCATGCCACTTGCCCAGGGCACCAATGATCACCCTTAAGTGGGGTACGAACATATCATCTCACATTTTGATGTCTTTTGCACGTTTGTATTTAGCAAGCCTCCACCAAGATCAGCAACGCCTGCCGTGTGCGTGCCCTGCGCTGTCTCTTCAGTCTTCTCAATACCAGTATGATTGAAGTTGTGGCAGACAGGCCAGTGGACGAAATCAGGTACGGTTGGTCGTCAGTTTTTCAGCGTGTGTGTATAAATCGACTGAAGTCACTCTTAAGTGCATTCCTTGGTGCTTGGAAATATGGCCCGTTAGTTGGCTGGCCACAGGTTGTGTCCCCAGGCAAGCCACTTTTCCTGCTTGCCTCTTTCAACCCACAGAGGAATGGGTCACAACATTACCACGGTTATAACTTATAAAACAATGAACTCTAATGCCATGGGTTTGCATTGCATTGTTGTAGAAAATTGCCAAATGTTATTCCTTTTCCAAGTTTGACAATTTTTACAGATTTTTGGATGGGTTGGAATTTGTCTGTGTGTATGGACTGGAATTAGTTCGTAACAAGTCTAATAATCGTGGAAGATGATTTAAGTCAAATGCTATGTGATGCACTGTACTGTGAATCAGTTTGGGTTTTTATTTCTCATGTAAATAGTCTTAGCATTTTTGGTCTATTTGGACTTCAATTAATCTTTGAAGATGAGTTTGTTGCAACAAGCTCACTCTTCCTCAGCATTGATACAGTTTCTGGAAGCGACAGGTTTGAATCCTACTTCCTCCAATGTATGTGAGCAATTTAAAAGTTGATCTTGGAAGGAAATTAGGACTTTGCAAAAGATTTTATTGAAGCATATCACAAACCATGTCTGTTGTAAAGTCTATGGATGTAAATTCATCTGAAGACTTTTTCAGTAAACGTTTCCCCAAGTTCACAACAAAGTGACACAAACATTGTTGCATGCTTTTGCTACTTTTATCGTGCTTCATTCAAAATACAACAGTGCAGAACTTTATTTTGCTGGATTCAACAGTTGCACAATTGTGCTTGTAGTGGGAGCACCAGAAACTGACAAACGTTTATATTTTCATTTTTTTCGATTAATAGGGAATTCATGCAGAACCTGATGTACCTGGTGGAGTTTGAGGCTCTAAATACCTCCATGGATCTCGGCGTCTTTACAACCTCCAACAAGCAGGGCCTTGTGAGAGGACTGTGGAAACATTACAACCATGAACCGAGGGTGAGTCATCACTGCCACCCAGAGGAAGTCTTAGACACTATGACTCTCTGCACTTTTCAGTTTTCACAGTCATCAGTCCTCCAACTTAAATGTGAATGTTCACTAAGCTTTCAGGGGTTATTGAGGCTCAAGGCTTCAGTGCAGTATTCACCAGACACTGGCAATCAGAATCCATTCAGATTTACAAAAAGGCACATGATCGTGTAACCTGAAAAATCAACGCACCTGCTATCATTAAAAAACGAGAGAAATATCGGCAAAAGCCTTACGTTGATAGCTCACCTCATGACAAAACAAAACTTTTTTCACAATTTACACAAATCTAATCTTTTAAGGTACAACAATCAATTAATCAAGTAACCAAATGAAGTAATTTCAACAGGCTAAACTGAAGCAGGGCTCGGTATCGTCAGGCGTACGTTTGTGGGATACTGTTTTGTTAAAGATTATTTCTTGTGTTTTTGTGTAACTTCATGCAGGCTGTACGTCTGATAGCTGACTTGTGTTTGGACTACAGTGTGCACGATGGGAAGCTGTGGAATAGTGTCCTTCAGCAACTGCTCAAATTTGGCATGGTATGCTCCACATTTCAGTGTATCGACAAATCCGATGAGACGCCATTCTGAGGGGCCAGCTGTCTCAACCTGAGCTCTTGCCTGTACCTCGGCAGGCACCGCCTAGGTTCAAACAGGATGGCCCCGTAGTAATGGCGTCTCATTTTGGTCCTCGGATTTGTCTCTGTACCCTCTTCACATTAATAAGTTTTCTTGACACGGATTGATTCCTCTTCAAATATTTGTCAGTGTGACTGAAAAACACAAAACTGTCTGGAGATATCTGAAGCCGAAGAGGCAAGTGATTAATTGCTTCAACCAGACACGATTCACTTAGTGCACATGCATATCAGAAAGTTGCTATAATGGACATGACGGGGTCCACAAAAATGTTTGGTACATGTTTGGTAGCAGCTTTCAGCAGCCAATGCCATGAATCCTCCCCTTTTGTAGACAGAAAAGTGGAACCTGTAGAACGATGCACATGGACTTATATATTATGCTAAGGACGCTTTCTGAACATAATATGCATGTGACGTCATTCTACATGTCCTCCTTTTCCGTCTACCATTCCCTTCCCATTGGAACATGAAGCAGCTTGACTAAACTTTTTCTTTTGCTTTCAAGTTATCACCATTAGTCCTAAATACATATCTTTTTCATTTGATGAAGGAAAAGTTTAGTTACGCTGGTTTTGACAGCCTTTGTGAAGCTGAAAAATTTAGCAGTGTTTGGTAAAAGTACATGTAAACTTCAGGAGTCAAAAGGAATTTTTGGTACAGGCAGAAATTTTGCATACCAGTGTTTGCTACCACAGTGTTCTGCTTTACTCACTTTTCAATTGCCCAGTTTTGCACCAGTCCCTTCAAAGCATGAGTTAAATTACAAATGTATGAATTCTCAAGGGATGATAGGAAGACCAGATTAGATGCATGAAATATTTGTCCTTTTTGTTTCCCCAATTTGGTGGCTCAATTGGGGTTTTTCACCCTTGCGTTAAAATTTACCAACATCAAGGTGATTTTTTTCCAGTAGACCTCAATCAGAGGAAACAGCTTCGGTCTGCATCACTTCTTGTCCAAGTGAAATTTTTAAGTCCAAAAAAATTAACACCACAGCTTGAGTCACCAACTGAAATAGAAATCATTTTATTCACACCACAGCTTGAGTCACTAACAGAAGTAGAAATCATTTCATTCACACCACAGCTTAAGTAACCAACAGAAGTAGAAATCATTTCATTCACACCACAGCTTGAGTAACCAACTGAAGTAGAAATCATTTCATTCACACCGTAGCTTGAGTCACCAACT